GTGTGAGTGTGTGTTAGTGTGTGTATCCCTCTCTTGCACCATCAGCAAATACGAAGTGCACATATAGCATTACAGAGTAAAATTATAGTGCGCAAATAATATATACAGGTTATGGTCCATGAAAATGATGACGCATAGTATACAGTTAATTGGAGCCTGGACTTATTTAAACCATATTCAATATTCGCAACTTCGTGAATATCTTTCTTTTAGTGCCCTATGATAAATGATCACCCTGCGCACAAAAACACAATAAAGGCCAAACGAAAGTGTGTCTTAAAATAATAAGCAACCTACCACAAAGTACCACAAATTCTGTCTATGTGTAGACTTTAGGCTTGAAAGCTATGCTAAAAATGTCACAAATTGGCTTTTAAATCTTGTAAAAACAGTCACATTCACACATCAGCAGCAGTTAGACTGTCTCAAATTCAGCCACAAGCGTAGTTCATGTCTGAGGCTGCAAATTACCAGCATCATCTTTCTCTAATACACACATTAGTGCACACAGAAAACCATATTACAAAAGATCAATTATTCTATAGTCGAAGATTCCCTGCTGAACTCACGGTTATGGTAAAGAAATCAACTGAGATTTTGGTTTCTATGTAAGCAGAGACATACACTAAAGATGAAAATGAATGCATTCCTTTCTTCTCTCATATTTCAGTAGAGGTTGAAATATTGGGCATTTAAATTTGAGGACATTAATGCTGCCAACTGAAAGATTGGTTTCAATAACAAACAGACAGAAAGCCAGATGGTCTTGTTGGGGAGTAGAGTTCAAATTAACTGGCAACCGCACAGACACAATTGAACATTGTGGGTCACTCAGCGTCTAATATCAGGAGTCACAGTCACCTAATATCACTCAGCATTGCATATGCTTAAGAGTTTCCACAAAGCACCACTGTGAATGATTCACCATTGAAGCATATATTGTTTTGGCATCTTTACTTTCACTTTGTGGGTAAGTAGACCACCAGGCCGATGTCTGTCTGTCTGTCTGGATTTTTCTGCTTTACCAGTTGCACACAAACTCTGTATGGGGGAAACACCGCACAGTCGGATCCAACTGGACATGTACTTATATTTTTGGTTTTCTGATCCATGGAGCTGGTGTTTAACACCACACCAACAACTGTTTTTCCCCACCCCCAAACATCACTATGGCAACTGACTGGAGGACTCTTTAAGTGAGTCCTACTCAGTGCAATTCATTTTATTTATACGTTCATGTGAGCACAGGATTTGTATATGGCCTCCTCTCCTGGAAACAGTGTTTGAGTGTTTTGCGTTTATCCTACCTCCAGAGATCTCATTTGCATCCTCAGGAGGTACAACTGACTCAGTCAGCGTCTGGGGCTCAGTCTTGTCTCCTCCGTCACTCTCACCTTTTTCAGCTGCAGCAAATGACACAGATTAATCATCAATTTAACAAAATCCTGTAGAATTAAAAAAAAAGGTATTTCAGAGAGTCCCTTCTCTATGTGGGTTTACATAAGCCAATAAGGAAAGCACATACGTCAATACTTAGATTACAGGAGAGAACTGATTAAAATAGAGCAGGGTAGACTATGGTAAAGAGAGTATAGCACATCACAACAAAGATGAGTACAGATTTTCAGAGAGAAGAGGGAGAGAGGAAGGAAGGAAGCAGAAAGTGGGTTGGGGTTGAAAAGAAAGGAGAAAAACTGGAGAAAACAAGAGAAAACAGGTGGAAAAGAGAGGAGAGGAGAGGAAAAAAGAGAAAACAAGGAGAAACAAGAGAAGAGAAAAGGAAACTGGAGAGAGAAAAAGAGGAGGGGAGACATGAAGAGAGGGTGTTGATGAGAGGGGAGGAAATAAGAAAGAGGAGTTCACTATAGCGTAACAAAGTTGAAGAAAGGAAATAGGAGGAAATGAGAGGAGAGGAGACAAGAAGAATGTAAGAAAGATTTGAGAGTATAGTAGTATAGTGTCAGGTAAAACAGAGGAGCAGTGAAGACATAACAGTGTACAGAACAACAGAATAAAAGAGAGAAGAGAAATGCATAAACGCACCTTTATGTCTGCCCTGAAGTGGTCTGCTCTGCTCAGTGCCACTGACAGCGATCACACTGACAGTGTAGTCCTTAGAGGGGTTGTAGTCTGTTATCAACACTTTAGTGTCAGATCTCGATACTATGATTTCCCTCCGCTGACCACCTGACAGAGAGGGAGAAAAGAAGAAGAGACAGTGGTATGATTCAGTGTATTTCAATTCTTGTTGCTATATATGTAGTTGCTTGGAAGCAAAATATTAGTATTCTCATGACTGAGCCAATGTGAAGTTAATTCAGCAGAGGAGCTTATTAATATTCTCCATTCTGAAGGCAGGCAAACATTACAAGGTTGAAATATCTTATTTCAAAGTGGATTTGTTTGTGTGTGTCTTTGTGAGGTATCTTCACAAAAAGAAAAAAAAAAGATAAAACCAAGGCATTTTGTGGGTCCAAAGTTAATTCTGTTGTTGTTTCTTCAGGGGCTAGTGGGTGAAGCTTTGAGAGAAAATAAGGATTACCGTCTCTTAAGTTTTGAGGTCAGTAAAATACAATTTGTCCCAAAAATAGACTGTCAAGCCTCACCAAGAAACAAGTGTGCATGCACTTTTGTCCTCTCTTTAGCAGTTAATCCCCATCAGACCAACAGGTCACATTATCACCCCCATTTCAGTTTTGACCCTGCAATCAATTTGGCCATCAATAAGGTGCGTGAGCTTTCTCAGCTCTTCTGTCCCCTGTGCCTGCAGAGTGATGACTAATGACACCTTTAGGGGAAGGACAATAAATCCTACTGAAGGGGACAGCAGGTCAGGTGAGGTAACTGCATGAATCAGTGTTCACTGCAAAAACCAGAACCTTCGTCTGTGCAAGGGAACCAAACTACTGTTAATCAACCTGGGCTTTAAGTCACTGGGACACCATATGATAACTGTTGCACACGGAAAGTCTCAGTTTTCTCAGGGCCAAACACCCTTCTTAATACTTTTTTACAGTCTTTTCCATAAATCTCTCCTTCGTGACTGAATGTATTAGGTGAGAACAGCAATGAATCAAAGAGTTCACCTGCAATCACCTGTTTAGTCTTTAATGTAAAGGACTGGGCATTATTATTTACACTTGGTGCGTGATGATAATGATAATAAAGGAATTTACAAACATGTGAAGTGTGAGTTGTAAACCTTTTGGAAAATACCCTTATTCCCTTTCTCGCCCATCTTCACGGTCAACTTCAGGCCCAGGACATGAATGGCATTAAGCTTTTCAAATAAGCATACTTCCCAAAATGTTGAACTAATCCTTTAAATTAGTTAAAAGTCTAAAGTTGATCAGATTGGTTTCCGTGATATCCAAAACAGCTTGCAGTTTGTGGGCTGACTCAATTGTGGAAAACCCATTAAAATCATCATCTCTCCGTATTAAGATTAATTAAGAAGATTTTGGAAAACTACGACAAACAACTAATGCTTGACTTGTTTTTAAAACTGTTGTCACAATCATTTTAAACCGGAACAAATATAAAAAGTTGGCAGAAACTTCATTCTGCTTAACATGAATGCTTCATCACAAATGAAAACAGGCCTGGTACAATTATCAGAAAGGACACACAGTCATGTTGTGTTTCTCCTATAGTGGCCAAAAATTCATTTAAAGGAAACAGCAAAAATGTATAAACAATACCACAAATTAAAATTAGATGACAGCCATAATCTCTAGCCCACCCAAGAACACAATGTGGTTTCACTAGTCTGATCAGTTATACAATACATACTTATTCAGAAATCTGTAACCTCTCAGCACTACTCTCTCCACCTTTTCTCTTGTTAAAAATATCTCAGACCTCCAGGCCACCGAATATCCTGGTTTCAGTTAGTTACACTCCTCAATTTTAAAGTAAAACATTGGTCTATTAATGCTATTTCAGTCCTGGGACTCACTGTATTATTAACATTTTTAGCATCAGTTACTGACATTGGCAGCCGGGAGAGACACCTCAAAAGTCCCCTGCTGTGCTGCTCTTTAATGGAGGTGCCAACCAGACGCACATTTGCCAAAACACAGTTAGTCCTCATCCTTGAAATCTTTTCTTTTGTAGAAGCGGAAAATGCCTTTTGAAAATACTTTCTATAAAATATAAATCCCACCTTTGTGTCGCTTGTCGAAGTTTGTTTTAGAGTGTAGGATGGGCTCATTGTTTCCCCTTGTCTACTTTGTGTGGAAAAACAGCCACTACAGGTGAATTCTGCTCCCCGGCCTCAGGGGCAGTAATGAGGCCGTGGTGTAGCGAACCACACTAGAAAACTTACTTAGACAAGCAACACAAAGCTAAGAATAATCCTGTCTCAGGAGAGTTTTTTTGCATTATCGGTTAACATTAACATTATTATCGGTTTTACATGATAAATTAGTTTAATGATGAGGACTAGCTGGTTGAGTTTAGCAAATGTAACTTAGGTCTGTTTATTCGCTCCACCTCTGTTGAGTGATTCTCAAGCTTTTCTGTGGGACCTCACGGGTCTACCTGTTCTTACTCTCACTTTGTTTGTTCCACCACTGATGTTGACCTACTGTTTTTTGTTTAAAAGTTGCTCATTTTTTGATCCACCCATGATTAATTGTTAACTCGAGCTAACTTAGCTAAAGTTAGCTCGAGCATGGTAAAGCCTCACTCTGATTGGCTGCACAAACTTCGTCACAAGATGTGTAACTGCGCAGAACTACACCACTTTCCACTTGCTTTCTCTGTCTAATGCGTCAGCCGCAGTAACTATTCATATTATTCTGTATTGCTACTATAAATACTATATGTACTGTCACTGCTATAAATACTACAACCTGTTTTAAACCTCAGCTTGTGTCTCACACCACTTTTTATACCTTCCAGTGCTTAAAAAGCAAATACACTTTCCGTTACCCAAACGATTCCCCTAATTGGCTGCAGTATCAGTGTAACAATAGGTTGCAGTTGCATACAGTAAAAACTAAACTTTTTTTCTGCCGGGTTTGGCGTCATCTCTGCTGAGATTTGAGAGAGTAAATATAGACATCTGGCACTGATAAATAACACAGATACGCAAGTACACACAGACACAACCCACACTATTTGAAATTCTGAATTGTTGGCAGGCTATTGAACAGACTTCCAATAAATGCTTATTTTAGTTTAATTCATGCACTGTCATATAATAGGGAATAAAGCCACTGGACAGAGACGCACAGGGTAAAGTTAAACCATTTTGATGCAGTGAGACCTGGATTACATTATCCACAAGGACAAAAGCTGATAATGGGGGAAATGACAGGGGACAATGTTATAAAGAATATAAGAACTGATGATGAAGAATTGACAGCTAGGCATTTCTGTTGGCAAAAATGAGTCATCTGCTTCCAAAACCTTAATCCTTATCCAGTTGCTCCTTTTTAGAAAAGCTCAGAGGGAGGGAAAAAAAGGGATATTATGTTGAGCCGAAAGGTTAGCTGCCACTCTGACAGCTCCTTTTGTGATCTAAAATGGTCTTCAGCCAGTGTTAACAAGCTTCACCATGGGTGCTGTTCACCTCATTCGACTCAGACGGACTAAGACACTGGACTTCAGGACACTGGACAGGTATTTGTGTCCTCATCCCTCCTTATTATCGAAGAAAGCTGTATTACAGATACAGTAAGGACACTGGGAAGGTTTTTACTGCATTTGCTGAATGCCAGTGAGCTACTGCTGCACCTCCTCCCTGAGAGGAAGTGGCCATAAATTTCAGTTTTTGTTCTCTTTTCAGCTGTCGGAGGCAGCAAGAAATTGTCAGACGAGGCGTTTCTTGCAAAGTGTTGTTTGTGAGAAACAAGTTTTATGTTACAGAGTGCTTATTCAGTCCTACTTATTCATTTTTACAGCGCCGGCGAAAGAATTGTCTGCAGTGTTGAGCACAGCATCATTAATACGGAACAAATGGAAGCAGCGGCGCAGTTATAGTTAAGGAATTGATGTGAAGAAGATGTATGGCTGTGAAGGAAGGTGCACTGTGATTACATGATGAAGGAGACGTCAGGGGTAATTAGGGTGATTACTGACTACACTGTGCATGCCCAGAAAGAGACCAGGTCATGCCCTGTGTCTGTGCAATGATTGACTGCGGACAGATGCAGGATAAAAGCAGGATTTTAGGCATTCGTCATGTCCACACAGCCGTACGGTGATAATACACTTTAATGCTGGATGAATGACAGCTATATGGTGGCCTTTGTGTTTGGTCTGTCCTGGATTGAGCTCCATCACGAGCCAGTGTAGGTCCTACTGTTCTATCAGCTCCATTTTAAAATCTGCTGACAGGCTGCATGTACGCTGCAAAAACATTACTTTGTCTCAAACTTGGCAGAGGTGCAGGACAAACTTTGAGTCCCCCACGTCTCTCAGGAGTTTGATCCCTTCAAAGGAGCTTTGATAAGAAGTAAATTACATAATCCTTCCTGACAGATAGAAAATCCAAGTCATAATGGGATCCTTCCCACAAAATTTCAAAGTTAGGTCCCACTTTTCTTTGGCATAGAAGTATTTTCTCTACGTGAGCGTGTTCTGTGTGTGTCTATACAGCAAAATGATCCTACCTGGTATACTGTTGTAGAGGAATAGATAGCTGTCAAAGTCTCCTTTGGGTTCCTTCCATGAAACAAGAAGTTTGCTTGGGCTCAGCACTTTAAAACGCAGCCTCCTCGGAGCTGGAACTGAAAAACAATTAACCACAAGTCAGCTTCAATAGCATAGGGAATGATTCAAAATAGATAATATGTTGTTGAATGAAAATTATATTAATTAATCCCAGTCACCAGTGTGTTAACATGATACCCAGTCATTTAAACCCAGAGACACCACAAAATCTGCCCCAGAAGGCGACACATCAAAACAGCTCAAAGAGGAAATGAATAAATGGATGGACAGAAGGACAGAGAAAGGGCTGAGTGAATTTCAATTTTGAAATTCCTGTATCCATGAGAGCAACGCATAAAGCAAGTCAGCATGGCATACAGCTCAGCTTCAGTTTGCTTCAGCTCAAAACAGCATGAAAAAGGCTTAAAAACTTAGAGATTTAGAGAAACTATTTCCAGTCAAATTCTCTATAAGATTGATTCAATGAAAAACTGATATGAGGAGGGATGATTTAAATTTCTGTTACAGACCGGTGAAGAGAAGTAAAGGTCGATGTCTTTGCCTGTGCCAATTTTTGAGTGTTTATTTCTGATCTATACAAAATCACAGAGAAATGATTGGTTTACAGTAGCATCCTCAGCAGCTCACTGTACTTTCTTTTGTCAAAGAAAACTGCAGTGACCTGTTAAAAATGGTGACTGTATGTGTGTCTGAGACAGGATATTTTGTAGAATCAAAAGGTGGTAGAAAGCAGGAGATAATTTGACTGTTTATAATCTACAGAGAGACAACTGAATAAAAGAAAAGAAAAGACAACAGCAATAGAGAAATGTAGTATTATGGAATACTACGAATTCACCTCAGATGAAATCGCTGACATAACCTTTATGTCTGCGAAACATATCACCATTTCAACCATTAATCTATGTTAGTTTACATACAAATAACACTTAATATGTTTCTACTAAGTTTCTATAAATGAGTAGACACTGTCATCCACAAATCTGATGACACTGCCAATGTAAAGTTACCTGTCAGCACTCTTTAAAAACATTTCAAACTAAAAAAGTCTTAAAGATCCTTCAACAGAAATTACTCATAATCTGATATAGTAAAATTAACTTTGCTTTTAGATTGGGTCATGCAAGACTAATATATTGTTTTATTTTAGTACTTTTATAATGGAAAAAAACTGAATAAACTGGTTTAAAAATAAATCACAATTTATTTGCAATCATTTAGAGCTCCATCAATGTTCTTAAAAGTATAATTTTAAGGTATTTCTGACTCCAATTAAAAGGACAATATGACAGTTTTGTAATTTAATAAGACCTTGGGGACACAAAAATCAGTAATTTTCTTCTCTGGATGCATGTAGGTCAGGGAACCAACTTTGCTGCTGTCTATATAAATAAAGAATCAGAGTATAACATCCAGCTACTGTGCCTGGAGTCATCTAGGGAATAATATTAATGAACTACATCTCTTTAAGCTCTAATAAACTTTGAAAGACCCCTCAACTTAACTGCTGACCCACATTAGCGATGTGACAAGCTACAAAAATTGACGCTGATCTGTCAGTTAATGGCAGGATATGAATGTTTATAGAGTGCTGACATGTAAAGACTGTACATCAGCCATTATGGAGAAACTGAGTAGAGAAAAAAATGGGTGATATGATGTAGACAAACCTGAGGGGTACTGTGCAGGATTTTCACTCGGTGATGAGAACAGACTTCCATCTTTCTCAATGGAAAATCCCATTCAGGCAATAATCAGAGAGCACTGTATTTCCCAAGTTGCATTATTGTATTATAATGTTGTAGGCAGAAATGTTAGTTGGTCCGTTTAGAAGCCAGTGGTTCAGGTCAGGTCAACATGGGTCAAAAAATTTTGATAAACCATAGATTAAGTGTTCTTTAGTATATTAAGTATACTGGCACGTTGATAACCTAGTATATATATAATTGACACACATAGGTTTTATACTTTTTCTCTATTTAAATAAATTATCAAAGTAAAGAGAAAAGTTTCATCTCTTTCCAAAAAATAATTTCAGCCAAACTAAACCTTGCTGCCAAACATCCTTCCAATTTTAGTCACGGCATTACCTCACAAGTTAATGTCAGAAGCCAAAATAACAGGATCCAGTCTCAAGTTGTCAAACAAGGATAACGTATTGAACTTTTAATCACCAGATCTTACGATGCTGTGTGATCATTCTGCAGAGACACAGTGCAGCACTTTGCAGTTTTACATTTTGCTCACTCCTTTTCTTAAGTAATCGCCACCTATCAGATACTCAAAATGCATAGGATGAAACGGTATAATTACAGCACACAATAAGAATCTATGAATAATTTAAGTCTGTGACAGAGCTGGTAGATGATTACTCTGGTATCATTTTTGTGTGTGCTTGATAGTAGGTGAATTGAGTTGGCAGACAGGGTACCAATAACCAGATGAAAATTGCCTTGAATACCTTGATCTTTGCGTTGCATGTCAATGAACACACACACTCACACACACTGAATTATAATAGAAAACTTATTTAAAAAAAAAAAAAAAACCGAATGAGCCAACTATGACCCTGTTTTATTCTGTGAATGCATGTCAAGGTCTGTAAGTTGGAGGCAATTCCAGAGACAGCTACTATGATTAATGAATATGGACATAATAGCTCCAATAGCTGCAGATGCTGACAGAACATGAGGGTCTCGGATATAAATTACCCTTCACAAACCGCCACGTCTGTTCTTGTTTACCACCGTACGAGAGCACAACATTTCACACTCTCTATCAAGCCCATTAGACTTCTTCTCCCGATTGCGCAAACATTGTAGGAACCCTGCTAGAGGCTTTAACTCTGCCCTTAACTTACAGAGAGTATACCCACGTATAGTATATCACACAAACCAGTGCCATTTATCTGGCTCTAGAGTTAAGAGTTACACCATCAGTGAGCCCCCAATAGGTCCTTGCATAACCTTCTTGCCAGATAGTAAATGCAAGTCCAGCCATTTGGCAGAACTTTGGCGACTACTGCTTAGCAACAACATTTAGCTGCAGTAAATAGTCTGAGTCACTGAAGCCTCGGTGAAAAAAAATGACCCCAGCAGCTCCAGAAAATTACAGAAATCCCTTAAAAACTATACTGAACGTGTTCTCGCCTCATGAAGCTTAAGATGCTTTTAAAAGGGTCTAATTTGAAGTATGAACTTCAGTAATCTACCGACTCTGTATGGAGCTTGAACTAGAAAAGTCTTTTAACTGGAGGCCCAGTATGAACTGGAATTATCTGGGTTGGAGCGATGCAGACGCAGCTTGAAGCCCCAGTTTGAAAAAGGATGACTCTTCCCAGGATTAGCAGCGGTGAAAGCTAGCAGGGATTCCTGGTAGATGAGTAAATACTCACTGCCCAATCCTCTGCTTCACTTCATCTCCGCTCTCTATGCCTCCCCTCGCTCCACGTCTCTGTTTCAACTTCTTCTGCAAGTTTTCTCTTCCCATCTCATGATTTGGCTCAGCATCTCGCTCTATGTTGGCTTCTTTTCATCCTGCTACTCTCGCTGACTACCCCTTCTCTTCTTCCTCCTCCTTTTCTCTCACTTTCCTTACGCAACAATCTCTCTATTCAACTTAGATTCAACTCTCCTTTTTTGCTCTGTTTCGCCTCATGTCTGTCCTTTGTCTTCTCTGAGCTTTCTGGCTATTTTTGCAATCTCTTCTTTGTTGCCTTTTTCCAACCCTTTCTCTCTATACCTTTTCTCTATCCTCCTTCTAATCTCATCATCCTCTTTATATCCTTTTTCTTCTTCCATTGTCTTCATTTGGTTCTCTCTTTTCAACTTTCCTCCTGTTCTGTCACCATACTGTGATTCTTCCTCTCTCTCCTCTTCTTTCCCCTCATCTTTTCTCCTGTACTTCCCTTTCCCCATCATTTTCCCATCCTTAAATTCCCTGTTTTCCTCCGCCTCTGTCCAGACTAGGCCCTTACTGACTCCTCAGTGAGTATTCAGGCTACAGTAGCTTCACTAATACGGGGGATTTATGGATGACAACTGCTGGCTTGCACTGTCACCACAAGATAGCTACTGTACTGTACATGAGGGAGACGGGGGAAGTGTGTGTATGAGTGTGTGTGCCAATCCAGCGCTGCAGCACGAGTCGTTTGATGTGGCCGGCATCTTGTCAGTACAAGAACTACTCTGCTCACCGAGATAGCACTTAACCCAAATCCACTCTGGCTTTTTCTTTCCACCTCTCCGCTCTTTTTATCTCCTCTGCTGCTCTCGTGGAACACTTCACTCTTTTATCACATCTCGTCTCATCCTTGGGTTTAAACTCTTTTCTCCCTCTCCTCCTCCTCTTCCCTTGTCTTCTCTTTTATCCTATCTTCTCCTCTTCTCCGCCACCTGCACTCAACTCTTTTTGTGGTTTAACACCTTTTTTTTTCTCTTTCATCACTTTACCTGTCTAAGTGATGCCTTTACCCCATAACACTTATCTCTGTGCTGCATTGTTAGGCACAGTCTGTGTGTGTGTGTGTGAAATCTCTCTTAAGGACTGACTGAATATTAAGAGCCTGTTGGATGATCCTTCCCCTTGTGCAGTCTGGTGAAAGAAGCCATAATATTCTGCATGACTGCAAACCAACAGGGAAAAAAATATCACCATAAAATACTCAACTGGGTTAATTCTGCAGGAGATGACTGACATTCAACAAGAATAAAATATTAATTTCTAGAGTCTGCTATTCTTACACAGAACTACACACCATTTCCATGTTCCAAGTTTTGTATTTAGTCTTTATGGGATAGTTGATCATAACTATGGTCTTTTTATAATAGTTTTGGTCATTATTTTGATAATCACAAGATTAAACTTAATAACAAAATGAAAGTACATTATATACAACGTCTATTCAGTGGCAACAATAGTTCAATAAAATCTGTCAGAGCAAGAAATACAAGCAGACAATCATACAGATTTTACACAAACCCCAAGGTTGGCTTAAATATTAGTTTACAAACAACTTCCTGTTTCAAATTTGCCCCTCTGTACGTAGGGTGATAAC